TCACATCGAGCTGTCAGTTCAATGCACTTAAAGGACGAGCGGCACCTGTACTTCCCCGAGCAATCAAAGTGGACTGAGGAAAGGGAAACGTCTCAGTGCACAACACGAGCCGCTGTCCACCTGCCCCACGGCAGGGAGCACGGCCATCAATTACGAAGCCTGTATTGAAATCACAACCTGCCAGCTGCCTATTTCCTCCAGCCAAGTTTCTGTTCTGAATTCCAAGGGGTGGAGCCGCTGTGCCCAGGTCATCTTAGTAAGTGGCCTGGCTGGGGAGCCACAACTCAAGGTGAGTTTAGACTCTGGAGGGCTTAGGGTAGAGAGAGAACTTTCACAGCAGGGAGTCCTGACCAAGCAGGGCTGGGCCACCTGTTTTCTCTCAGCCTGGGCAGGAAGTGAGTGAAATGTGGCCTACGCAGCTGGCAAATTAAACTGATCTGTGATCCAGTTATTTGAAAGAGAAATTGTTCCCTATAAGAGACCCTCCATCAACTGACCCACTTTCTCTAAAGCCACCCACACCTTATCGTAACAATAGCCGATGCGCCTGGCGCCACATGAATGGGCCTCTTTGTCTCCTCCCGGGGGGCCGGTACCCCCCTTCCCACCCTAAGATCCTATTTCATCAGCTGCCTTTGGATACTTTTAACCAGGCAGGCTCCTTGGTGACTAAGCTCCAAGCACAGCCAACAGCTTCTGCCGGGCCCCAGGCTGGCTCTGCACTCACACTGGCAAATAAAACTCCAAGTCAGCAAACCAAAGGAAGTTTGCCTCCAGTAATTAAGGCTGGGCCACAGCGAAATGCTGGGGTGAGGGCACGCTCGTGAAAGTTTAATCACTTCAATAGGTATTTGAGACCCTACTAAATAATGAATTGTACTCACTGCCCAGACCAATGGCCAGTGCTAATATCAGCGCAATGATCCCGATGACAATGATTGGGAAGAACTTCAGTGGCAGCAGTGACAGGATCTGTGCAGCGACCTCATCTGCATCTGAACACCAAAGAGGGGGGAGACCAGAGAGCCGCTCAACTTGAGTAGCATGACCCTTACTCACCAAGCGCACTCCCTCACCCCTCTGTGCAGACAGACCCAGCCAGAAAGAAGTCGCCGCCCACCAAAAGGCACATGCTCTGAAGGTTCCAGTCACTTTCTGCACCTCTGACCCGTTCTGCCCATCCTGGGTTAGGGGTGGTGCTGTGGGCTGAATGGTGTCCCCCTGAAAGATATATTGATCTCCTAAGTCCTCGTACCTCACTCTGCCATCTTCCGTGGAGCTGGGTTGAGGCTCCTTACGTGGTAAACAAGTTAAGATGAGGCTCTCAGGGTGGTCTCCAATCCCATGAGACTGGGCCACTTATAAAAAGTGGAAATCTGAGCATGGAGACACATCCTCAGAGAGGGAAGATAATGGGAAGAGACGCAGAGAGAAGACAGCGGTGTGAGGACGGCGGCAGAGATTCAGGCCGTGCGCCTACAAGCCCAAGATAATTAGCAAAGCACCAGAGCCAAGTGGAAGGAAGGACCCCTCCAGGTGTTGGGAGAGCGTGGTCCTGTTGGCACCTTGGATTCCATACTTCCAGCCTCCAGAACCCGAAGAGAATAAACTTCTGCTGTTTAAAGTCACCCGGTTTTGGGGACTTTGTTTCAGTAGCCCCAGGACACCAATACAGAGGTGAAGAGGCACTCCAGGTACCAAGAAAAGAGCTTTCCCACAGAGGCGGGGTGCCGGCAGCGGGAGTGCTGGGGTCTCCCAGAGACGTCACAGGGACAGCAAGTTGGCAGACATTCTCTACAGGTCTGTGCACAGAGGAACAGGCCAACTTTGTTCTAGATCATCCTGCCAAAGATGTGTGTACAGCAACAGCCTTAGAAGACAAAAAGTTTCTCTCTCTGAAGCAAGAGGCAGGATTATTTACTGTCCAGTTTAACAAATGTAATGTCTTCCTCCAGAGCAGAGCCCACAAAGTGTACGTGCAGCCCCGCTGGAAAGGTGAAGCTTCCCTTAATTCTGCGTTTCTCCGTATGGCACCAACCACCTGCATGCACGACATACATGCGGGCTGCCCCACAGGCCTCTGTGGGGTGTGGGGCACAAGGACACTGGCACAGACCAGACGCTCACCCGCCTGCTGTGCTGTGACTCCGACCCAGGAGTCGTGTCTTTCCCACCTCCATGAAACTGTGACAAACTTTATGCTTACAAGTAGGGTAACATCTCAGACCCTTCACAGTTCTTGCCTTCAAAACCAGGCAGATTTGGTGGAAAACAATATGTAAGGAATATTAAGATGACCAGAAGAATGAGCCTCTCGGGGCAGCCAGGGGACTTTGCACTGGTATCTTTCCTCTCAGAAACAACAGACCACTTCATATAAATGATCTAATCAATCCTAAAATACACCTATACCTAGATTGTCTTCATTAAAAATTAGGATAGGTGGGATCCAGAAAGGGGAGACAAGAGACCCAGCATGGGGGCTTGAGCCTGCCTCTCCTCCCAGCGCAGGGCGTGCTGTGCTGAGAATGATCTTGCCACAGCTATCTTTGGAATCCTACCACTCCCGCCTCTGGCAATAAAGACTGAGACTATGAAATGATCAGTTTCATTTGAGGCTGCGGAAAGAAAAGAGAATCTGAGGGCAAAAACAGTAAGAAGTGGCCTGGGAGGAGAAAGGCCAGCAGGAGAAGGTCGGGGGAGATGAGGAGGTGGCCATCGGGATGCAGAGGCCGGAAGGGTACAGAGCGGGAAGGGGGAGTCGAGGCTCCGTCTTAGGACTGATGGGCCATGTGGTTTGTCCAGGCTGTGTGTCTCAGCGCCCAGGACCGCACAGGGCACACAGACCCCTCAACTAAAAGGTGTTAGATGAGTGAATGAATGACACCATGAGAATGAAGGCTGTTTCAACTCAGGGTCAGAGGCTGAGTCCTCTCAGGACAGCCCATCCGGGGTCTGGAGTCAGCAGAGAGGCATCCCTTCCCCACCTGCACACCCCACCCTACCCCGGCAGGAACCTGTGTCAATCCCACATTCTTTTCCAAGGACACGGCCACCTCCATTTCACTCCTAAAACTCAAAAGGATCCCTAAGAATGACCTTCTCTCAGTCAGCTGCTCTGTATCTAAGTTAGATTTAGGAAATGACTCCAGATTATAGAATCAAAGATTGGTGCTTCATTGGAAACTCTACATCAGTTTCCTTCTGCTCCCCGCTCCTCTGCCTGGTTTCTGTGGGGTGCAGCAGGGCCCACCCCTCCTCTGCCCTGCCCTGGGGGCTCGCCTGGCACAAGAGGTGGAACGCATGGCATCTCTCCAAGAAGGAAGGCAAGTGATAAACCAGCACAGCTGGAGAACTCTCTACCTCTACGTCAAGAAACACGTGAATTAGAAACACTACATACCAGCGTCACAGTGGCTTATCCAAAATGAAAGGAAACGGACACTCTACCCACAGTCCACAGGGGTATAAGTTATGTAAACTTGGAAATATGTACCAGAAAGCTCAGAAACAAATGAAATTTTTGACCTGCCAAATCCATTTCTAGGAATCTATCCTAAAATGTCAACACAGACGTGCACAAATTCCTACCTACAGGGACACTTGAAATGGTGGTGTTTATAACATTTATAAAAGTGACCGGCAAAAGAAGAGTGAGGTGACCAAGAGCAGACGCGAGCAGGGCCTGTGCGACCCCTTTCTGTAAAGGAGAGTGGACTCGGGTCAAGTACCCTTTATTAGAGATGCTTGGGGCCAGAAGTGTTTTGAATTTGACTTTTTTTCGGACTTTGGAATATTCTCCTATACTTACTATTCCAACATCCCTACCCCCCAAATCCAAAATCTGCAATGCTCCAGTGAGCATTTTCTTAGAGTCAGGCCAGCGCTCAGAAAGTTTCAGGTTTTGGAGTATTTCAAATTTCAGATTTCTGGATTAGGAGTGCCCAACTTGAACTTTAAATCTGGGGCCATATGTCTGTCCCAGCTCCACGGTTAACGGCGTGGAAGCAGGTGTGGGCAGCGTGTGAACAGACAGGTGTCTGTGCTCCAGTAAAACTGATTTGTGAAGCAACACTGAGCCAGACTTGACCCATGGGCCACAGCGCATCAACATCTAAAAAACATTCAATTATTTAATGCCATGGAAAACTGAGAACCATATTGTTAAATCTTTTAAAAAGCTTCAAAATAGTGCAAATAGCATATGCCGCTTCCAAAGGAAAATACAGAGAGACACAGAAAAAGGCAGAAAATTCAAGAATAAAGTGCTGAGAGGGCTATTTCTGAGGAAGGGTTCCGTTGTGGGTCATTGTTTAAATGACTATAATTAACTATAAATAACTATAATTAACTATACATAAATAACTTTAATTAACTATATTTTCTAGATTTTTCTAATAAACACCATTGCTTTATTTTTAAAAAAAGTTTTTTAAAGTCTTGCTCCTTCCCGCTACCAGGAATTAAATTTATAGAAGCAATAAAAGAAATTAAGAGAAAGATGTATCAGCACTATTTATACTCATGTTGTTTGTATTATAAAAATAATAGAAACAATTAGAGGTCAAATGATGATCAAATTACACATCACTTGATGGAATGTTTGTGACACCAAAGAAAAGATATTCATAAAAACCAGACAGCACGTGGGAAATGCTGGTCTGTTTCTACACCACGCAGGAAACTAAGCTCATCGAGGGAGAGAGGAAGAGAAGGAACGAGGATATAAAAACCAGGTAGTTTGGGGAGTCAGGTGATTGCTGGATTTTTTTTTCTCTCGTTGACATGTATGCTAGTTTTGTGTCGTATTTTAAAACTGTGTATCTTTTCACTTACTTGAAACCTCTTTCCCACCTCCCTCCCAGCCTTTCCAAACCTCCGCCATGTCATTTGCCAGGTGATTTAAAAGATTCGTTAGGGTGGCCCTACCTTAGTAGGGCACAGCTGCCGCAGTGCTCCTTCCCGGGCCAGGGGGGTGGTACCCCACCCACACCCAAGCCCCTGATTTCTGCAAGCCCACCGCTCACTTTGACCAGCCCTGGTAGATCCAGCCAGAAAGACCCTCGTGTACACGTTGCTGTGGAATTTACTGCTTTTACCAAGCCCTAGTGGCTTGTTTACAAAAGCAACTTTCCTTCCTTAGTTGCTGGGAACAACTCTGTCACCGGCCATTGGATTTTAATCTACGCATCAGATACCTTTGGTGATAGCCAGTTTATTTTAAATTTCCTGGGAGGACTGGTGGCCACTGCGTCCCAGGACTTCCTGAAAGACTCAGAGAATTCCTGACCAGGATTTGACCTCCTCTGGGATTCACCAGAGAAGTGGTGGAGCCCCAAGCTCTGAAAACCTCCAACTGGAGAATAAAACAACTGTCTTCAGGGAGGCAAGCAAAACAGAACAATCCCTTCGCCCCCAGGCCTTCTCCCCCACAATCTGCATATCTAGGGAAGTGGGTGCCTGGCCTGTGGGATAAGGGCCTTGGAGCTATAGTTCCCCCAGCAGAGGCCTTCAGCCACCGTCCTCACCTAGATGGGGGTGGGGGCAGAGGTCACAGGGTCCCTCCTGGCTCCACCTACCTGGTGCCACCGAACTTATTTTCAAATCATCCAGGCCAAAAAGCGATCGGAAGGAGAAGGGGGCTTCCGCGGCAGGCGGATCATTCTCCCCCATGGTGACTATCTCAGGACCTCTGAGATTCGGCTCCACCTCCAGATCCTGGCCCAGGAAGAGCAGGAGGTGTTAGGTTTGCTTTTACAGTTGCAGCCTCAGATGCATCATTGTCATATTTTAAATCTTTGAAAATCGACCAACAATCCACCCGGCGTGCATTCAGTGCCGATTAACCAAAAACTCACGTCTGGCGCGAATGCATTTTTGTCTGAACCAGAGCAGATAACAGAAAAGCTTCTAGAGTTAGTGAAAAATCACCAACTAAGTCCACCCAGACAATGACTTTCTCTTTGTTCCATCAACCCAATCGAACAGCATACCTTTAAAGAGACGCTCTTTTACCACTTAGAAGTTACTGAGCCATTAATCTTCAGAAGACAGTTACTTTCAAAGCAATTTCCACCTCTTTTTTGCAGTTGTTTCTAACTGTCGCACATAAACCCGGGGTATAGCTAACCATAAGCATAACTAGGATCAATACTCACATAAGGTCTGAGTGCCAGGAATGAAGACAGCACCAGGAAAGGGACAATCAGACACAGTATGAGTGGCTTCCCACAAACACAGCCCTTTCCTGGCTCACTTGGGTATGACCTAATTAAGGATGAAAGTATCTGGAAAGTCCAGGTGCCCAGTCCTCCCCACCCCACCCCACCCCCACACACACAGAGAAGTAAGGAGTGGCCAGGGACCTCGGGCTGCAGCAGAGTGACACTGGGCTGTTTCCTATGAGGGCATTCCACCTGTCCAATGCCAAACAGGCCAGAGAGAGGCCTTTCGAAGTTACTACTTGTAACTCTGAGGGGGGAAAGGGAACAAGGAAATGGCAAAATGTTCCCAATTAAATCCCAGGCATCAGGCCTGGTTTCTCTAGGTGCCTGCTACCCCGGCTGCTGAGATCTACGGGCTCCGACCGGCGCGCACACACAGATAACTTAGATCACCTGCTTTTATTTCCTTTACGGCTACCTGTTGTAATGTTTAGAATTCCCAAGGAAACAACCAAGCTGCCTAAAATAAGCTTTGTTTCACTCAGTCGTAGTAAAATCTAAGCAAGGGTTTTGTCCTAAAAATGCTGACTTCATTTCAACAACGAGAATAGTTTCAAGCATCTTGGGAGCCGACAAGACCACACTGAGCCCTTTCAGGCTGTGATTCTTGCTAATACTTGGGTTTACCATCAGCATGTGGCAAATTATGGAGATTAAGTCTATAAAAAGAATAAGAATAAACAGAAAAACACTTTCTGAAAGACGGAGCCTGGCTAAGCAGGTCCCTCCAACACAGGCTTGGCGGGCAGGCGGCACAGGGTCTCCACTCCCCACATCCACTTTACTCACCATTTCTGGAGCTGCCATCATTAAAAGAAGAAATAATTTCTTTTTTCATCATAAAAACAAATGTGATGTTGAGCAGGCCACCAACGGGTTAGTCCAATCGGAAAATATTTTCCCCAAGTCGCTCAGCCTTGTCGACTCAGTCATCCCTGCAGCGGCGTTACTGGGGCTGCGTAACCCAATCCGCATGTGACTATCAAGTAGCCAGGTGGTATAACTCCAGGGACCAGCTAGGGGAAAAACGTGGCTTCGCTTTAATTAGTAAGTAAGGTGAGCAAGCCTTTTCAGAAACCTTGCATCCAAGGGTCCTCAGAACACAGGCCTTCCTTTCTGTTAAAAGAACCCGTGGGCCCTTCCCAGCGGGGAGCCAGCCACCAGCAAGAGGCCAGGCAGAGTCCCTGGTGGGGTTTTCTGACCTTCCCGGGACTGAGCCCCCTGCGTCCCTGCAGACAAGAGACAGAGAACCTGAAGGAGTTCATCACAAGACATGGGACTAGTGTTCCATCTTGCAGGGGCATCTGCGACCCAGGAGGCATCTGCGACCCGGGAGGCCTCTGCGACCCGGGAGGCCTCTGCACCCAGTGCCCCTTCTCAGTGTTTTACCCCCTTCTGGGTAGCTCCTTACTGCTGTGGGGAGGGTACTAAGCATCTTTGAGTGTCCAGATGACTGTGGGGCAGGGCTGGGTGGGAAATCACACAGTCACACGCTTGTTCTACAGATACTTAGCAAGCGTCTAAGCCAGGCGTCCAGACACAGCAACAGCAGGGGCCAAAACCCCCACGTCTGACCTCAAGTTATGGTGAGCTAGGAAGAGATTAGGCCAGGAGGGTTGAGAGGGGAGGGCAGCGTGGTGAGGGACAGCCTTTAGGTAGGAGTGATATTTCACCTGGGACCCTGGGTGGGGTAAAGTGAGTCTTGTGAAACTCCAAAACTCGAACTGGGTGTGGGAAGGGGTCTAGTTTGTGTAGGGGGCTGGGCACGTGGTCAGGGCAGAGTTGGGTGGACACAGTGTATCCTGGGGGCCTGTGTGTGACGTGAACTGAGCCCAGTGAGGACTTGGCATAGAGGACAGAGTGGCGCGGCACCTTAGTCCAGTGGTGTCAGAGGAGTGGGGTGAATTTTGGTGGCAATTTGTACACATCTCGAGTTCAGGCACAGGATGTTAGTGAACAAGACACTGTCCATCAGATCATCTGGTCCTTTCACTGCCCGGCGTGGAAAGGAACATTTCAAGTTATGAAGAAAGAGATAAGCTAGATGGGGTATTTCCTGGCTTCCTCATAGATAAGATTGTGTTTTCTTTAGGGGATAGGAGTGGAAACACTTTATGTTTTCATATGTTATAAATACTCACAATTCCTCAGAAAGGAGTTTGTTATTTAGAGGAGAAAAACATCCACAGCAGAGGCTATACGTACTCAGGTATCTCTCATTTCCCTCTGGGTAACAAGTTTTGTCTATTTCCAGATTTTCAAATTCAAGAAAAATCATTTGATCATGAAATTATTTCATTTTTTACATTCATCAAAGAAAAAGGATAATAAAACTGAATAACATTCTGCTCAGTGAAATATGCCAGACAGAGAAAGCAGACGCTGCGCAGCTCACTTATGTTTGAAATTGGAAGAACAGTTGAATCCCTAGATAATAAAGTGTGTTCAGGGATGGGCGGGGCAGGAGGGAGAAGAGGGGGGGACGTTGGTCAGAGTGCAGAGGACGGATACGTCTAGAGATCCAAGATATGACAAGAACTATGGTTATAATATTGTGCCGAGTACCCAAAATCTGCTGAGAGCAGACAGTAGGTACTACAGTTATGATTTCTAAAAAGGTAATTGTGTGAGAGGATGGATGTGTTCATTTGCTTGACTGTAGTAACCTTTCACTATGTATATCAGAACGTCTCCTTAGAAATACACAACAAAAAGAAAAAGGATGTTATAGAAAAACATAAGCTAACATTTATTGGAGAAATACTGATACCTTGTCCTTTGAGATGGAGAGTACCATGACAAAATGCACTATTACCACGTCCCTTCAACATTCTATCAATGAATTCATAAATAACTACTTACGCGCGTGTGTGTGTGTGTGTGTGTGTGTGTGTGTGTGTGGATATAGACGGATAAAGATATAGATAGGTCCCATTGATTCTGTTTAGCTGGGCCCAGTCCCCGCAGCCCTGTCCGCTCGGCACTGTCAGTCCCTGGGGTTTCAGCCCTCCGAGCGCCCGAGCGCCCGGCCGCGCACTGTGGGTAACACGTGGTCTTCATTAGCATTTCCTGCCTGACTAAGGCTGAGCACCTTCTCAGGCCCATCTCCTTCTGTCAAGTATCTATTTAGACATTTTGCCCATCCTGAACCTAGGTGTTTGTCTCCTTA